TCTACAGAAAATCAAAGAAACTGATAGTTGTATACACTTTAAAATGATAATTTCTCTTTATATTCCTCTGTTTCTTTTCAAATTCCAATGAAAATAAAAACCCAATTTATTTTTAATATAATTTAAAAAAAATATATTTCAAAATTATCAGATTATGACACATGTCACTTAACAGATTAATATTATTAACTATTCAGAAACCTAAAGTGATCATGTTTGTAACGTTAGATACCATGATCATTCAAAAAATAAATTAAGCACATTTCCGTAAAAAAAACACTATAGTTTGATCATTTATTTTATAATTAAGCCTTCCAATTATAAAGACTATAAGTGCAAGTACAATCAATCATATTTATATATAATAGAAAGTAATTAGTGTAATCCATGTAGATTAAAAGTGAATCTGGCCTTCGCCTGAATCAAAATAGTTTAAATATAAATTCATACAAAATAATGGGACGATAATTTATATGAACGTAAATCTATATATAATAATATTAAAATTTAAAATATTTTAAAAATCTCATGGCCACGATCTTACAATTAGTATAACTTAAATATATGAATTATAAGTGTTTAAAATATAAATATATAAATATATGCCTTATTATATAAGTGTTTAATGTCTTCCATCAATTATGGTTCATCCATGCATTGCCACCGTTTCATTGGCAAGGTGAACTTGTATTTGAACTTCAACGGTTGCAAGGAATTTAAGGATTTCACATAACAACATGAGAGTGATAAATCAATAAGAGTCTACCGAAAATAATTATGCGATTGTGACGGTTGATTTAATAGTAAAATTTAGTTAAAAGAAATGTTGTTCTTTCAATAGATTACGAGTTTAAATAATTGTGTTTGTGGATACATGTGTTTTATAAATAGGGATGTCAACGGGCCGGGTATTGGTTCTTCGTCCCCGTTCCCGTTTAAAAAATTCGTATCCGTCCCGCTTAAAAAATCGCGGGGATTTAAACGGGGATCCTCATCGGGTAATCGGGGAAAACCGCGGGGAAACGGATATCCCGTTTAGCATAAACAATTATTTAAACGGGTATCAGGTCGGGTATATATATTTAAATTAAATATATAAATATTATATATATATTTTTAATTTAATTTAAATTTATTAATATTATATATAATAATAATAATTATTTTTAATATTTATCGGGCCGGGTAATCGGGGCGGGGATTACTAAACCCGTTCCCGTCCCCGTTTAACATAAATGGTTTTCCCCATTCTCGTCCCCGTTTAGCATAAACAATTTTTCCCCGTCCCCATTTAATTTGGTTTTCGGTTTTTCCCGTCGAGTTCGGATTTTTTTGTCATCCCTATTTATAAATGATTATTATAAATTATGAATATATAATATCTTATAATAATCAATATCTTATAATAATCATAAATTATTTAAAATAATAATAAAATACGTATTCCAAGGATCATGCCTTTGACATTTAAGGGTTAAGATTTGTTCCTTTTGGAATTTAAAGGTTCTACAAATTTAAGAATTTGGAGTTATTTTTTAATCAGATTTGGCAACTTAAATTAAATAATTAGTGTGCCCTTGTTAGTTGACAAAATTTCTTTTAATAAATATAGATAATTCGATTTTAAAATGATAAGAAAATAAAATATTATATAATTTATTAGAAACAATTTAAACAGTTATATTCAAAGAATATAATTTAAATGTAATTATCCAAAAAAATATAATTTAAATAATTATTTTAGTATTAAAAAATATAAAAGTTAAACAAATGTAAAGAAATACTCCCTTAAGTTCCGGAAGTGTCGTTGGTTTTTGATCAGGCGCAGCAGCTTTCCATTTTGAATAATGGTGCTCAAAAAGAGATGCTACAGTTGCAATCAATGTCCAGTAAAACACGGCACCCAATCAATGAGATCATTACGCGTGGGCCATCCTCTCCTTTGCAAAAAAAAATCTAAAGGCTCCGTGACTTTTATGTGCACAATGTTAACTATTTCATTTAACACAGGAGCTACATTTGATAATTATTTATCAAATATACAAAAAAAACAGTATATATATATATATGATTAATCTATATAGACGCACATTTAGAAGATAATGTATTTTGATATTAATTATCCAAAAAAAATGTATTTTGATATTACGTCTATAGGTTGATTATTATTCTTTTCCTAACAAAATTATTAATTTATATACGCAATGTCAAAATATATTAATTTTTAAATTCTAATGTATGGTCTCCATTCAATTATATATTTATATTTTATTTTAATAATTTAATATTAAATTAAAAAAAACAATTTATTACTTAATAATTTATTTTAATTATTTAAAATTAAATAAAATTCATGATTTATATATTTTAAATTAATGGTGAGTTATTATAAAATATACTTTTCTTATAATTATATTTTTATTATAGTTTAAATTAATATATTTCGTAATAATTTTATATACACATGTTAAAAAATATTAATTAATATATTTTTCTTAATAAAATAGTTTATTTATAAAAATATTATTAATGAGTTATCTTAAAATATTTTTTATATTTTTATTATAGTTTAAGTTGATATATTTTATATATCATAGTATTAATAAATGTAAATATAATTTAAATTTTATATTTTAAACTTACAACATAATGTCTATAATGAACATTTTATCTTTTCAAGTTCATTTTTTAACAATAATCTCAAGCATTTAAATTTTAAACTACACTTTTAAATCACTTTTAAAAGTTTTTTCTATTATACTTTTAAAAGTTATTTTTCAAATACCTTGTCAAACTGATCCTGAATATATTTTATTTATAAATAATTTTTATTTTTATACTTATTTTATATTATTTCTCAAAGAAATCTCTTTTTATGTCATGTAAAGTAAAGGAGCTCATTATAGAAAACGCCTTCCGTTGATGTAGCAGAAACAATCATGTTTTTTTGAAGTTTGACTAAAATGAAAGAATAAGAAAAATAAGTGTAAAAATATGAAAAAAAAATCCTATGAATTTTGGTATAAAACACAAATACAAGTGATGCTTATTGAAGATATGTAATTATACGACAGTGGCACTTATGTTAGTCTTATGTTCAATCACTCCATAAATACATATTTAAAATTTTATATTTAAACACTTGAAAACTCACATATCTAAAAAATATCAGATTTAAAAACTCCAATGAGGCTTCTCAAATTTCATATAAAGGGTTTCTTGGTAAAACTTTTTAAAAGCATTTTTAGCTAAAAACCCGTTTTGACTATAAAATTAATGTCAAATGGGTATAAAATGGAAAAAAATTCTCATGATTTCAAACCAATAACAAAAACTAGGATTTCTAGTTTTTTCATTTTTCCTTTTCATTTAGAAGTAAATTATAATTTTACCATTACTAATGCATTAGCTCCACTCAATTATGTATTTACATTTTATTTTAATAATTTAATACTAACATCATTAAAAATAATTTATTACTTTTAATAATTTATTTTAATCATTTAAAAATTAATAAAGTTTATAATTTATACATTACAGTATTAATAGAGAGTTATATAAAATATATTTTTATTTGTATTTTAATTTTGTTTGTTATAGTTTAAATTGATATAATTTATACATATAATAATAATTTTTTTAAAATTATTAAAATTTAAATAGACATTATATATATATATATAAAAGTGAAAATATAATGTAAATGTTATATTTTTAATTTACAACATAAAATCTCTAATAAATAAAGTTTATGTTTTACACATTAAAATATTAATATAGAGTTATATAAAATATATTTTTATTATAATTATAATTTTAAATTTTTTGTAATATTTTAAATTGATATAATTTATATATATAATAAATTTTAAATTAATATAATTTAAATTGATATTATTCATATATATATATATATATGTTAATATAAAGTAAATGTCATATTTTTAATTTATAACATAAAATCTCTAATAGATATTTTTTTTTCAAACTCAATTTTTAACAGTAATTCCACACAATTAAAATTTAAATTACACTTTAATACAACACTTTTAAAAGTTCATTTAGACGACACTTTTAAAATTCATTGAGTTATTCAACATACTAATACACACATCGTGGTTGTTACCCGATTCATGCTCATAAAAAAACACCTTTTATAAAACATGTCTTTGTCTATGTAGCAGAAAATGATACCAATTAGGAATAAATCGATTAAAGTATCAAAAATGAAAAATATATTTTAATAACTGATATTCGAATAGAAACTAATTTTTGAGATCATCTCAATAAAATAAACAAATAATTTTTTAATTTAACAATTAATTATATGATTGTTTACTATCTATATATTTCATGTATTAACTAGATATTAATTATATTAAAATTTATAAAATTATTAATTAATTAAATTAATTTTATTTTAATTTAATGATAAATTAAATTATTATTTATACCAATATTTAAAATTTTAATTGAATTTATTCTCATTAGTAACTATTAATTGAAATTACTTATATTTATAAAAAGCTCTAAATATTATTACGAGGGTGTTACTATCTTTTTCATATTTTATAATTTTGTACGTGAAATTATTGAAACATATTACTTGAAATTTATATGTATGGCCAAAAATATTTAGATATAATTTTTACTATTTTATAATTATTTGATAATTTAATTATTTAAATAAATTTATGAATGTATAAGATTTTTATTTTAATATTATTTTTATAATATATATTTCAATTTGATAAAATTTAACTTAGTAATGTCATCTCAGTTCAAAAATTATATTTAAAAAAATATAAAATAAAATATGTTTATAAGATTTTCATAGTAATTTTATTTAATTAGGTTAAAAATAATAATTAGTATAAAAATATTACTCTTTTTAAATTGAAAATATTAAATTAGTTGCATTCGCCTTATAGACTATTCAAAATAATTAAATGTTTGATTTAAACTTAAGTAGCATGGCGTTAAAAACTAGTAGAATGATAAATGAGTTGGGCTTTTCTTTTGAAAAAAAAATAAAAAAAAAATTCTGGAACTATATTCGTTGAACCGTTTCTCTTTACAGCTCCTCAGGGCTAAGCCAGATCAGGGATCTCACGAGCTAGTTTTCTTTTAGTAGATTAAGAGTTTCGAAGATTTCAATTGGTGGGTTTTATTTGCTTATTTCTCAGTTTTGATAAGTTTGCTTTGGTTTTAGTTTCTAATAATGAATTGTTTTGCTGAAATTAGAAGTTTGATGGACTTAAATTCTGCTGATTCTGACTTGAGACGTGATAGAAATTTAGTTCATGTTTTTTTTTTGTTTCTAGAGTTGTTCTAAGTTTGAACGTTATGAGAAATGAGTTAATGGGCATGTTTTATCCATGCTCTTGGGATTGTTGTTTAGTATTTTTAGTTGATCTCCCTTTTTTCGCGTTAATTTGGATTATCAGGTAAGTGTATACTTGAATTTCCTTGAAAAAATGGGGGTAATGTCAAGACGGGTTGTGCCCGCCTGCGGTAACCTCTGTTTCTTCTGCCCTTCGATGCGTGCAAGATCAAGACAGCCTGTTAAAAGATACAAGAAGTTGCTAGCCGAAATTTTCCCCCGTAATCAGGTAATTTTCAGTTCATCTACTGTCAATTTTTACTTGATTTTGGGAGCTTCTTTACTAGCTATTTTGTTAATGTTTGATTCTTATAGTGAAAAATTGCATATGGGTGTTAGTCTAGCTTGTTCCTTTTTTTTGTAATGGATGATTTGTTATCAGTATTAAATTCAGTTTAATTGGTGACTTCAAAACATGAAATAGATTTTAGGTTGTGAAGTTCACAGAAGGATAAAATGTTTATAAGATCTACTTCTACAATAACTGCTGCTTCTATTTTGGTTTTGGCTGCATAAGTTTCTAATGTCCGTGGTATTAAATATTGTTGAACGTTGAGGAAGAAGTGGCAGTATTGGCATTACTTTTTTCTTATATTTGGGAAGTAAGGCATTCATGTGCTTCTAGAAATGGTCTTTAGGTTTCTTGAAGGGTATCATACCCCCCCATTCTGATATGCTTAAGTTTTTCCAATTATTTTTGATTTGACAGGATGCTGAGCCGAATGATAGGAAAATCGCGAAGCTCTGTGAATATGCTTCAAGGAACCCATTAAGAATACCGGAGGTATTATTACTTTTCTTTTGTTCATTGATTCTTGGATGATTTTGATTCTAACATGGAATTTCTCAAATTTTAATTTTCTGTTTGCAATGTTAGTTTCCACTACTTTGTTGCAAGTTTTCTGTATCTGTTTTCAGTACATATAAATAATTTTCTGCAAAGTCAGTTTCCACAAATTTTGTTGGCAAGTATCTTTATCTTTGCTAATTTAAGTGGAAAAATCCAACAGTTGTAAGTGAGAACATGGCTACTTTTCTAATGGGTTCTGTAATAATAAACTTAGTGATGTTTTATATCTTCTAGTTGTTTAGGATTCAATCTTGCTTTTAAAATGATTATCTTATATTAGTTAAAAGGAGGTGGTATGCAATTTTGTCATGAAATGCTCAAAACTGATTGCAAATTTTTAATTGGTATAATTCTTGGAAAAATTCAAATTTATTGAAGTATCCTTGATGTGTTCGAAATTAGTTTTAAATTGACTATATTGTGAAATATATATATAACTTTACTGAATTGCTTATTGTTTTTTCTTTCACATTTTTAAACAATTTGTCTGCACAGATTACAAGTAATCTAGAGCAAAGATGCTTCAAGGATTTACGGAATGAGAACTTTGGATGTGTGAAAGCCGTATTGTGCATTTATAGGAAACTGCTATCATCCTGTAAGGAGCAGATGTAAGTTTGATTTGTTGAAATATTAACATCTAATGGTATAAATACTTATTGTCACATAAATTTTTAAGGGGCTTGTGTTGCGGGATTAAATTCTAGTAGGGGTTGAACTTTGGAAGATAACTACTTATTAATTTATGATGTAATTACTTTCTTTTTTATCATTTGTTTCACATTGTCTTTGGTTGCAACGCAAGAATGCTGATTATATAAAGATAATTTTTTTTTGATTTAACAATTCAATAGGTACACATGTTCAATAAATAATAATATATTGCTTTTTATGTTTAGTGAGATTATACTGCTATGGCGCAGATACCTCCTTAGAAGTTCTTTCTTTGACATGGCAACTAAAATTTTGAGTAGATTGTTATTTAAAAATTTAATCTTAATTTTGCACAAAAAATTAACGGGGTTTACAATGCAGAAAAAGATCACGCATAGTGAAAGATTAAATTGTTTAGAAAATTATCTCTATCAATTTTGTCTACTTCCTTGGATTCAATTTTAATTTTTAGTATGCAGAGATTTAATATGGTATTTTTTTATTATTTTCATTGTTTTAATTTACCTTAGCCTATGCTGTAACTTTTAAGTGTTAATGTGATGTATCTATATTTTTTGTGCAACATTTATAGGAGCTCTTTATTCTTGCAGGCCACTTTTTGCTTGCAGTTTATTAGGGATCATTCGAACTCTTTTGGAGCAAACTCGACAGGATGAAATGCGAATTTTGGGTTGCAATGCTCTTGTAGATTTCATAAATTGTCAGGTGTGTAGTCAAACTGATATGTGAGTAATACATACAGGTTTGGCTCGGGTTGCTAAATAGCTCTTTGAAATTTAAAGGTTTCCGTCACTGGGCTTTTTAAGTTTTTGATGTAGACTACTTACTGGATTTGGACCTGCTGAATGATTATATAACAGTTCATTTCTTGGCTTTAGATTGCAAATAGACTAGAGACAGAATGCTTTATTCAGCTATAACAAGTAATTTTTTCTAATTCTGTGGGATTTACAACCAGATGGATGGCACACATATGTTCCAATTAGAGGGCCTTATTCCTAAACTTTGTCAACTGGCTGAAGAAGATGGAGATGATAACAGATCTTTGTGTTTACGTTCAGCAGGATTGCAAGTTCTGGCTTCCATGGTTGTGTTCTCTCTAGAATTTTGATTTTTTTTTTTGCAAAAGTAACTATTTTGTCCAAAATAATGAATGCACTTGCATTAGCTCAGACAATTTTTTTTAAGTAGCCATAACTTTTCTTCTTTATGACACGTGCATGCATATTCAAACCATTAATTGTTTTCTCTTTTCTCTATTATTTCTTGTATCTAATACTTGCCGGAGTTTGTGTGCATGTCTTTCCAGTAATTTCTTTCACAATTTTCGTACTCTGCTGATTTTGATGTGTTTCCAAAATGAATTTAATGGTTTAGTTGCTGGTAATGACTACTGTCCAGCAATTAATAAAAGGATGGCTCGACAAGATTATTATACAGCTTATTTAAATATTTTCAAGTAGCTTCCGCCTTTTCTACCTTTATTCAACAGTCCAGATCCTCTGTTAGAAGGCATCCTCTAAAATTATTGCAATATGTTTTAACAGAAAGAGGCTTGGCTTTTTCTGCATTGTGTTTTATAATATAGGATAAGTTCGAAATTAGACTAGTTCAAACAATTGAAATTTTAGATCGACCTTTTCTTATAAATGATCGAAATCACTTCTATAATGACTGTAGGGGAATATAGTGGCTAAATTTTGTTTTCAAAGGGGCTATCAAGTGTGCTTTTGTTTTTAGTCAGCTGTCACCCTTGGCTTTTTTCTGGTTGTTTTGTTTGATTGAGTGTCTATCGGGCCTCGTTTAGGTTTTTTGTTTGGCCAGTCTTTTTTAGGCTGTTGTTGTTGCTTTGTTGGATTAGGCTGGTTCTGGTAGGATTGTTGGTGGTTGTTTTTGGTGTTTTGTTCATATTGGGGGTGGCTCCCTGGTTGTATCGTGTTCTTTCTATGGTTAATAAAATCTTAAGGCACTCTTTTCCTCCCGCTGATTAAGGAGCTTCTCTATAAGCTCCTTTAATCATGAAGGAGGTTTTTAACGAGGCCTGCAATTCCTATCAAAAAAAAAAAGTGTGCTTTTGTTTTGATCAACCCGTAAATAACCTTATTTTGCAAAATATGTGTTGGCTTCCAATTCCTTACAAGTCAGATTGATTCCTGGTTCTCTTTTCATTTACTTATTCTTTTTAAATAATTTTATTCAGTTATTTTATTTGTTAACATTGCTTCTTTTTTTGCTGTACATCTTTTCTCATTAGGTATTTTTTACTTCGACTTCCATGTCTGGTCTCTTACTTCTTTCTCATTCCTTCTGCCTAGGTCTTCTTCATGGGCGAACACTCTCATATATCAATGGACTTTGATAGTGTAAGTTATCACTTCTTATTGTGGCCTTCCTGTCAATGCACTTTTTTTCTTCAAAGCTTGATGCATTTCTGATCTGATACAGTTTGACTGTGCAAATGTAACCAAGTATATTTTAGTCCTGGCTGTAACTTCTTTAAAAATATTGAAATAATTCTCTTTTATCCAACTGAGCTTCATTGGAAAGAATGAAACAGAGCTTTGGAATGTTTACCTAGAAGTATACTATTGTCTGCCCAAATTTTGGATAATCTCTCTGTCTGTTTCTCTCAGTTTTATTTTGGAGTTTTTTTATAAGAATTGGAGGTCAGTTTTATTTTGGAGTTTCAGCTTTAGCCTCTTGAATTTCCTTCTAGATATTGTAAAGCATGCACTAGACAAGCAAATGAGCTATAGGTATTGGCCATTTTGTTCATCTTAAATTATTTTTCCATCTTTTATAGATCATATCAGTAACCTTGGAGAACTACATGGATTTCCAAATGTCCTCTGCTGACAGAAGTAAAGTGGGTGAAAATGGTTTGTCCGTCCCGGATATCAATGAGAAGGCATTGTCTGTACCAAACCTTCTAATTAACTCAGAATTTGAGCCAACCGCGTAAGGCTTCTTCTTTATGCATTCATTTCACTAGGATAAATTTTATCATATGTCCAAATATAATTGTTTGCTCCATTTGGATCTTTATCAGTGATACTTCCAAAAGTCCCTCTTACTGGTCAAGGATTATCTTGCGTAATATAGCCAGATTGGCAAAAGAAGCAACAACTATCCGGCGTGTTCTTGAACCTCTTTTCCATAATTTTGATGCTGAAAATCACTGGTCCCATGAGAAGGGAGTTGCTTTTACTCTTCTAATGTACTTGCAGCTTCTAATGGAAGAAACAGGTTACTTGGGAAGTTTTAGCATGAATCCTTAATATATGCTTTTTCTGATATTTATTTTGTTGTTATAAAGGTATTTTTTTTTAATGACAGGACAAAAGTCTGACCAACTCTTGGCCATCTTGGTGAAGCACATGGAGCATAAGAATGTAGCCAAGCAACCTCACATACAAGTTAACATTGTAAATGTCATAAATCAACTTACAAAAAATGCAAAGCTTCAGCCCTCAACGGCAGTCATCGGTACAATAGCAGACTTGGTGAAGCATTTACGAAAGTGCCTACAAAATTCAGCTGAATTATCATCTTCTAGGGGTGATAATGATAAATATAACACTGATCTTCTGTTGGGCTTAGAAAAGTGTATTTCAGAGCTCTCAAATAAGGTTGGGAAAATGCCTTGTATACATCTGAGTTCTAATTTAATCTAATTATCTTAAGATACTTAGAGAAGCTAGTTATTATTATTATTATTATTATCCATTTAGTTGAACTCTTTTTCTGTATGTATTTAACAGGTTGGGGATGTGGGACCAATTCTTGATATGATGGCTGTGGTACTAGAGAACATTTCGACCAACAGTATTGTTGCAAGAACAACAATTTCTGCTGTTCAACGAACGGCAGAAATCATCTCTTCCATCCCTAACATATCATATCACAAGAAGGCAAGTATTCTTGCTGTTATGTTCATTCTTATCTTTCACATGCATCTAAGTCCTGACATTATAATCTGTTCCAGACCTTCCCTGATGCTCTTTTTCACCAGTTGCTCCTTGCAATGTCCCATCCAGACCATGAAACTCGAGTTGGGGCACACAAAATTTTCTCCATTGTGCTTATGCCAGCCTTGCTTTCACCTTTGTCAGATCAAAATAAAAAAACTTCTGAGGTTGTTTCTTATGACTTATCGGTTAGTGCAACTGTGAAGGTAAGGAGTCACAGCTTATCCTTTCAGGACGAAGGTACCAAGCAGAAATCATCCATGGAAAACTAAAAGAAAATGGAAATCAAGTGTCAATAATGTGTCAGTCCCATGGGAACTCATTTAGTTTTAAGCATGCTCTGGATTTTTAACGAGACCACTTTTCTTTTAAAAAAAAGCATGCTCTGGATGAATGAAAAATGCTGTGGAATTGTTGTCATTCTGTTGTTTGGTGTTACTATTGATTCATATGCTATTTAGTTTTCATACATGTCTGAATTTTTCAGCAGCTGACTTCCCTTCGCTTAAGCAGCCATCAAGTGAGTCTTCTTCTTTCATCAATATGGGTCCAGGCAACTTCCACTGATAATACTCCTGCAAATTTTGAGGCTATGGCCCATTCATTCTATCTTGCAATATTGTTTACCCGATCCAAGGTAAATATTTTTATGCTGGCTTACTCTCAAAAAGAGAGGAAAAAAAACTTTTATGCTGTCTTTGTTCTAAAATATCAATTCCCTTTATTGACGCACAAGGTTCAAGAAGTATTATTTGTTTATGATACTACCTTACTCTTTTTTATTGATTTAATTTTGTTTTTGGTGATGATGTATGATACAAAAATTTTAATGAGGCCTCCAATTCTTATCCAAAAAAAATGTATGATACGAAAAAAGGGCAGGATAGTGAAATTGGAAAATGTTTTACTCTTGGTAATTGACAAACATTTTGGAAGAACCCACAATAGATGAATGAACAACTTATTTATTTGTTTTATAGAGTCTGCTATTTCTGATTGTGCTTAATTTGATATTAGAAATGTCCTTTTGAAATATGTAGAAGCTCTAGTTCTCACTGTGGATGTTTTCCATGAATGTAGACAAATGAAATCATAATGCTGACTCTCCCTTTAGTATCTTATCTCTTTCTAGTTGTCAGCACCATCTACCATTATCTATAAAACTCAAAGTGAGATAATAATGTCAACCTTTATGTTGCCTGCACCTAAGTTACGTTTATCGAGCGATATTCAACTTGTTTCTGTAGTGAGGTGTGCCATGGGCCAATAACTGGACTGATAGAATTTGGATCTTATCTCGACTTTCTAAGAGGGATTTCCTGGATACTTTGTTAAGAAGATTCCTCTTTTCTTTTGCATTTGCCTGGAAATTTATTAAATATCTTTTAATACTATTAGCGGTTTTCTTTCCATTTTGGTATCTATGTCTGAACTACTCTATTGATTAATTTTCTGATGATAGACCTCCAGTCATATGGCACTAGTTCGGAGTTTTCAGTTGGCATTCTCCCTGAGGAGTATCTCTCTGGATCAAGAAGGTGTGTTACATCTATTAGTATTGGTGTTTTTTTTTTGATACATTGCAAGAACTTAGTGCTCTATGTATATAAGCTGTGGAATTATGCCCTTTGTCCATTTTGTCACTTGGAAGCCTCACGGGCAGGATTATTCCATACACTCCATGATTGTGTTTACGATGCTTCAATTTTTCTTCCATCCCATCTCAAGAAACATCGGAAAGAAACTTTGGCTCATAAAGGTTATTCTAATTGTTGTCTAGACTCTAGATATTTATTCTAGCTAAACTAATATTGGCTGAATTATAGGTGATTTATGGAAGATTTCCTAGCTTTGACTACTGATGTAATTGCTTTAAATTTTGGTAATAAATGTATATTTCTTTTCCTTATTTCATTTTTGTATTGTTTATAAATAGGATATATGTAGTAGACTTTATGTGGGCAATGAACATTCAGATCCAGTTTGTAATATAGGCTCATCTGTCTTCACCTATTCGTTATGAGTTATCTCACTGTAATTGAATGGTGGTTGGTGGATTGCATTTAGTCTTATATTAAACTCGGGGCTCTTCACCTTTTACCATATGGTTTTGGGTTGGGTGCTTGTTGAATTTGGTGAAAACTTCTCCTGACATCTGTGTCTTGCATGCTTGTTGAAGGAGTTTTGCAACCATCTCGCAGAAGGTCTCTCTTTACCTTGTCATCCTACATGATTATTTTCTCAGCCAGGGCAGGCAATATTCCAGAATTAATACCTATTGTTAAAGCATCTCTGACAGATCAAACAGTCAGTTTCTTATCCTTAATGTATATCAGAAGTTCATTTATATTGATACAGTGGTTTGTTATCTTTTCCGACATGCTGATACTTGATTCTATCATCCTTTACACAGGTTGATCCTTATCTCAAATTAGTTGAGGATATGAGACTCCAGGCTGTGCATGTGAAGTCTGATGTGGACGGTGTAGCATATGGGTCACAGGAAGATGATGCTGCTGCATCAAAAACTTTCTTGGCAATAGAGCTAGATGATCTTCATTTGAAGGAGACAGTCATTTCTCATTTCATGACTAAATTTGACAAATTTTATGAGGTAATGTTTCAGTTTTTTATTGATCTTTTAAGGTTTAACTCTGGTGATAAGTATCTACTATAAGAGGGTGATTATTATTATTATTTTGGTTTTTAGTAACATTACAAGTTACATTGGCGTAGATTTTTTTAAAGTGATGAATGTGCAGAACTTACGTGCTTAGATATTTCAGGATTCTTCATTTAATAAACTTTTTACATGAAAGATTTTGGCTGTGAGCAGAGAAGCTATTTGTTAAGTAATAGAAAGAATCATCATAAAACAGACTGTAGTTAGGACTAGAAGTAATGTTCAGTGGATTGCTACCCCATCCCCCTTGTTCAGTTGTGTGGCTTGTAAAGGGTAGCAGTGATTTTATTTGTCAGTGCTTTTGGAAGGACATTTTGAGTTATAACAAATAGATGTTGCATGTTACTAAGTTGTTCCATATTTCTTGTCAAAAGGAATTAATAAAATTTATGGGAACTTATTAGCAAACAAGATTCTTATCAACCCTTGTCTGCTTCTTATAGGACGATTTATCAAGTATTAAGAAACAGATTCTTGAGGGCTTTTCACCAGATGATGCATACCCATTTGGTGCTCCATTGTTTATGGAGACACCACGACCATGTTCTCCTCTTGCACAAATGGAGTTTCATCCATTCGAAGAGGTAGATCTTACCTAGATTACAGAGTCTCCTACAATACCATGAGTTTGATTGTCTTGTTTTCTTTTTCTTCCAGATTTTGCCTCTAGCCACAATAACAGATGATGAAGCCTTCCCTGAAGCCAATGGAAGTCAGTTGGATCGCAAAGCATCTGTATCTCTCAGTACACTTGATGTTTTAAGTGTCAATGAACTTTTGGATTCGGTAAGATGATCAGTTCTTTATATCTATAACAATATATAGTATAATTTCTCAATGAATTTGGAAACAATAAATCTGCAAAAGGATTGTACGTCTTTATTCAACTCCTTAGGTAGAGTCTATAAGAACTCCCTGGATAGTATAAATCCTCAGATTCCGTAGGTCTTTCTGTCTTTCTTCATATGAGTTCGTATGTTCTATAAAATCTTAAACGGGTTTTGCTACATGAAAATTGAAAAGGTTTTGCTACATGATACTGCAATTTTGAATGTATTAAGCTTTTACTTTTCCACACCTTAAAAGATTGTCTGAAGATGCAAAGTGCATATGTTATAACATTATAATTCACATCACAAACTGATAAATGGGGTTTGACCAAATCAAATGAGTTTTAACTCTTCAGTGTAATTTGTGCATCTTTGTACCTTTTGTCATGCAATAAGTTTTGTTTTTTTCAAAACTCTAACCAACCTCCCTAGTTGAAATTGAAGTTAGAAAAGAGAACCATTTAATCCATCTTATTGAGCCATTTACTTGATTCCTAGCTGTTGGGTACAAAGAGCTATAGTCCATGTTCTTTATAAGCATCTCTGGAGATTTATCTAGCGTTCATTTTCTTACAAATTTTATCAATTTGTTTGTCATAGGTTCTGGAAACAGCACGACAAGTTGCAAGCTTTTCGGTTTCGGCCACACCCATTCCCTATGACCAGATGAGGAGTCAGTGTGAAGCTCTTGTAATCGGCAAACAGCAGAAGATGTCAGTGCTTCATAGCTTCAAGCACCAACAGGATGGCAAGGCAACCCTGGAGGAAAATAAAAATGAGGTCCTCTGTTTACCGAATTTGGTGAGTCGGTCTTTAAACACATGACATTCATCTGTATTCTTCCCTAAGCCAAAGCATAACCTGTATCATCACCTCTAGTACCATTGATAATGGGGTAAAACCACATATTTAGTCACCTTCCGATTCCCGCAGTTTCGTTTTGGTCACCTGCCGTTAAAATCTTAACAGTGATGCTGATGTGTCACCATAAGTAATACCACATTATCATTTAAAATACTAAAAAGAGTGCCATGTCAGCAGTTTTGTTTATTTTTTAACAATAGGTGACCAAAACATGACGTTAGGTATGATTTTAGAAAAAAAATAGTTGGATGACCAAAATGGAACCGCACGGATAGCTGGGTGACTAAATATAGAGTTTACCCTTGATAATATTTGATGCAACCAATAATAATATCTTTCGTGGGCTATTCTTTTCCTACATTAGGAAGTAGAGCTTTATGAAGATCTGAAGGTAATTGGGAAGGAGCAAGCTCATGGAAGGGGACAACTTGCCCTTTGTGCACTAGAATACGGACAACATTCTTTCAAATTACCGCCATCAAGTCCTTATGACAAGTTCTTGAAAGCAGCTGGATGCTAAAGAGGTTTGATACTTGTGTACATGTTTCCAGATACTTGTCGATTTTATTCATTTTTTGTGTGTGGATCCATTGAAGCTCAATTTACCATTGCACCAAAATGAAAGAAGCGAGTAGGGGAGTGGAAGGATGGCCATGGTGATGGTATAGTATTGTACAAGAGAGCAGTGTAAGACTGATAATTCTTTTGAATCACATTTGTATGATGAAGTAATTGTTTGGTTGATTTAAAAGAAAAACTTGATTTCTTCTCCCATTTTTCTTTTAACACAAGAGTGAGCAAAAGTCGATTCGACTAAAACAAAATCAACTTTTTCGACATAACTTGATACAAAAAAGTTTGATTTGATTATACTAAAAAAGGCTCAAATACAATTTGAGTTATAAAATATTATTCTAATAATTTGAATCTTTTAATAATTAGTGGATTAGTTTTTAAGTTCGAGTTGAGTTCTTCAACTCGTATGTTATATGTGTATTTTAAATAGAAAAATATGAATAAATAAATATATATATATGTATATTGTATATGATTATGTGAAATCGTTTAAATTAAAATCAATTAGTATTATACCATTATTAAAACATGGTTGATAGCAACCCAAACTCTACAAGCAAACGATGAACATGTTTAATCTCTCACAACACATCGAATAGAGCTCGAACATAGTCAATAGTAACACATTGCCCATGAATATTCCCTTGAATAGAGCTTTTAAGGTCAAGTATCTCTCACAATGCATACGCATACACCTTCATATTTTATATTTTTCTTGCATTTCATTTTAACAACAACCAATTGTGAATCATTAAGTGATCTTAATGATTAAAGAGAATATTGTTATTTATAGAGGTCCCAGATTCGAGTTGCTACTTCTGCAATGACTAAGAGATATTATGAACAAATATTATTTTATAATCATCTAAACAATTTAAAGAAGAACCAACAACGTTTAATGATATTCCAATTCATTAAAACGAACTTGTTTTTTTTACCTCAATTAATATGAAACCCTTAATTCAATCATTTTTAACTGAAAAATTAACTCGAAATCCTCACAAACCAAACTTTTGTATCTATTTTTATTCATTAACAAAAAAATGAGATAAAGAACAATCTTCGTGAAACATTTAACTTAATTTCAAAATTTACACCTTAATATTCAATGAGAATATTATAAATTTATAATTGTTTTTTTTAAGAAATATAGCTTTAAAAATATATAAAACCCATAAAACAGTTATTCCTATACTTCGTTTTTATCCTTGGGTTCAATATTAATCAGCTCATTGATGATCACTTGATCATCATAATTTGTCAATTATTTAATGAGTTTTTCGACACATCTGTTTAGAATTTTGTTAGTCTTTTGATAACAAACAAATATCCTACTAACACAACGGATCAAACTTGAAAATTTTTAAAAAATAATTATTTTTCTTTTATAGTTAACATCACTCAATGAATTGTTCATGCTTCGTTTATCCTTTTACAGATAAATCTATTGAGATTTTGAAAATCAACATCAATAACATACCCATTTACAAATTTTTGACACAACCCTGAAAATTTAGACCTTTATTTAAGCATTTAACTAATATAATAAGTAATGAATTAGATCTGATTTCATTAATACGATTTTTTTAAAAGAAAATCTCATCATTAATACACGATTTTTAATACAAAAAAAAAAAATCAATATAAAGATTTCATCGTAATTTTTTTAATATATATAATGCCATTTTAAATTTTGTAACATTCATGATTTGAATGAAAGATTTTTTATATAAATATATATTTATAAATAATTGTTCAATAAATATTTATATATAAAGTGATAAATGATATTTGTATATAAATTCATTATTCTAGTGTTTACTCATTAAGAAGTGAGTTTGAATTATTTTGTTTAAAGAGTAAATAAAAGTATGAAAATTAAATCAATATTATAATAATGTTAATTATCATTTAACAAATGATTTTTGTAATGAATTTGATACTTGTACAACATATTTAAGGAACCCATTGGAACCACCATATTTAAGGAACCTCCGAGGGAGTTAATCCCACTGCTGCTCGAGGACTGCCCTAACTCTGGTTGAGGACTTTGTGTTCCTGTAATAATCAAAAAGAAAAAAGAAAAAAAATGCTAATAATACGACAGATTTATTTCCTTATACATTAATTCTAAATTAAATAGAAAGAGATTTGATTTTGGAGTTACCATTTTTCAAAAAAAAAAAAAAATCCAAAAAGAAATGGCTATAAAAAGGGAAGACTCATTTAGAATTCGATCATAAACCTCAAACTTTGAATCAGCATAGATATTAAAAAAAGAAGTGAAGAAATGGCCCAAGAAAGAGGCAGTGCAATAATGTGCATGACTGTAATGTTATGCATGATGGTTTGCTTTAAGACGAGCTTTGCAACCACTTTCATGGTGGGTGATGCCTCCGGTTGGGGTTTTGGTGTCAATAATTGGCCCAATGGAAAAAGCTTCAAGGCTGGTGATGTCCTTGGTAAGTTTATTTTCTTTTTTTTAATACTTTAACGTGATTACAAGTTTAGATTTTTTTCAGTCTCTTACAACACATTCAAATCCTAAAACGCAGATATCAATGACGAATTCATAAATATTTTTTATATGCGTACACATATATTAACAACATGATACATGGAGTTACTCAAAACCATGACTTTAGGGAAAAAATAGTTACTCAAAACTTTACTATTAAAATTGGATAAGGAAGCATATGAAGCATGCAAAGTGCCGTTAAGTGCACCCGCATTCAAGACGGGAGATGATCTAATCACCCTTAACAAAGGCGATAATTATTTCCTCTGCGGTTTTCCCGGCCACTGCGAGGCTGGAATGAAAATAGCCGTTAGAGCTACATAATCTCTCTTATGTATGTGAGAATTAGGGCCATTAAAATAAAATATATAAATGTTTTCATTTCTCTTTCTTTTCTATTTCACTGATTTTTTATGCAAATTTTGTCGCTAATTTTATTAAAAAGATAAAATATTAAAAATTATAATGAAATTTATAAACTAAATACATAATTAGAATAATTTATTATAATGATTTACACAATAAATTAGTGACTCGAGATCATAAGGAAAAAATTAAAACTTATAAAAAAAAAATGTGAACAAAAGATACATACAAATAAATCTAACTGTAGTACGAACCACAATAGGAAATCAAACTAGTGAAACACCACCGACAATCGTAAATCAAACTCGTACATCCTAAAAATTTGGTATGAATCTAAGATTATATGTCTTTAATCTCATCATCTATGGGACTACCTCACGAACTCAAGACAGTGTTAATCAAAATAATTCACATCAAGAACCGGCCAACACATCAAAACCAAAACCAAAGATTTAAATTAAATTTACCGTTGTATTTTTTGATCCACCGTTATTAGTGTGATTCTACTTCACATTCTTACTTTCGATAATAATGATTTCAAACAGTACCGATACCATTATATAACCATCACTGTTATATTTTTTTAAAAATCACTATTATACTATCATACTATTTAAGTTATTGATCAAAACACCATAAGGTCACCATTATATACACCAGGTAAACCATATGGGGACACAACAGAGCCAATTCATTCAGCAGGCACTAGAAGAAATATAACCCGTGACAGAGAAGTTTGACTGCCAATTGATTTATGCTTTTTATATATAAAAAATATTAGCAGATTTTGATTTGCTGGCCAACTATGAAATTTGATTAATATGTCACTGATTCGAATTGAATTATCTAATGACAATTATTATAATCTTATATAATTCATATAATATACTATTTGATAACATGATTTAGCATTGTTTTGTTGAGCTTGTTAATTGCAAGTGTCATTGCATGATGTGACTGTCATTTCTCTTACTCTAATATGTAAAATTTAATAACATCTCTAATTCAAGATTTTTGTTACTCTCCATTCTCTTTCTCTGTTGTTTTTTTAGCATGTTTGTAAAAACGACTTTGTATGTTTCCATGCATGGATAGATAGAGAGAAAAACAATTGGGAGAGGTTGCATCTCTAAAAGTTTTAAATTTTTATACATTTTAGATTTTTTTTTTATATTTTTGATCGAATTTTTTTCCGCCATAAGTTCACATTCTCTTATAATTTTATAAATTCATCATTTTCTAACATAAAATCTTGTGTCCATCATACTTCTGTAGTTTATATCTCTAATACTTTCAATCCACTTTTGTTGTAACTTAATCTCATAATTACCTTCAAGTAATAAAAGATTTTATATGAATTAATCTATGAACATTATGTTGCGGAAGACCCACAGGCAACGGTAGAATTTCATTCACTATGAGAAAAATAAGAATTACAACTTCTCTCGATCTACCAAGGAGAAAACAATGATAATTCTCTTGATAAAAGGGAGAAAACAACTCTCAAGAAACTCTCTAAATTCTCTCTATTATTGGAAGAAAGCTAGAATGCTTTGGGATGGTTTTGAAGCTAGAATGCTTTGGGATGGTTTTGAAGCTAAATGAGCTAGGGTATTTATAGTAGAAGCTTTAAGGACTAATCTTATAATACCTAAATTACAATGACTAATTGCATAGTTTTACATCCAAAATTCAACAAAAGTTGGCTACCTAAATGACCATTTAGCCGCCCATGTTTTGTTTACTTTCAACAATCACCCACTTGAGATTTGATTAGAACAATCATATCTTCACACCATTCTTTCTATCTTGTACCATCATGTTGCTTACGTCTCTGACAGACCACAGGAGGATTGACGCCAGGTAAATTTATCCGCGTTGATCGCCTTCGTCATGAAATCTGCTATGTTGTCTTGGTATGATTTTCTGTATATCTACGCCCTTCTTCCACCTTTCACGAATGAAGTGGTACTGAACTCGTATGTGCTTTGTCCTTGAATGAAATGCTGGATTCCTTGCTAGATGCAAGGCGCTTTGACTGCACAAAACAAAGAGACATACTCTTGATTGTGCCAAGCTCCTCAATAACATCTTCAAACCAAATTGCTTCTTTACTGGCTTGTGTAGCTGCTACATATTTGCTTCTTTGTTGTGGATATAGCCACAACTGACTGCAACTTAGAAACCCAGCTTACAGCTCCACCAGCAATTTTGAACACATATCCTGTAGTAGATTTGCTTTTATCCAAATCTCCTGCATAGTCAGAATCTACATACCCATTGATTAGTAAGTTTGATCCTCCGTAACATAATGCAACATTTGAGATCCCTTTGATGTATCTCAGGATCCTCTTTACTGTATTCCAATGCTCTTTGCCTGGATTCGCCATGTACCGACTAACCACTCCCACTGCTTGTGCAATGTCTGATCTTGTGCATATCATAGGAACATTAAAACTTCCCACTGCTGATGCATATGGTACTCGAGACATCCATCCTCTCTTCTTCACTGCTAGGACTCATACTGGAGGATAATTTGAAGTTAATAGGAAGAGGGGTAGAAATTGGCTTACAATCTGCATGCTGAATCGTGACAAGATTTTCTTCAAGTAATTCTTTGTGAAAGCCCAAATCTTCCTATTACTTCTGTCTCGGTGAATTTGCATCCCTAGAATCTTGTTTGCTGATCCCAAGTCCTTCATTTCAAATTCCCTATCAGTTGTGCCTTCAATTCTTCAATATGATCTTGTTGGGTCCTGCAACCAACATGTCATCCACATACAACAACAATACAACAAAATCGTTATCACCAGACCTCTTGAAATAAGCACAAAGGTCTGCATTAAGTTGTTGTATCCAAGGCACATAATGAAGGAATCAAATCTTCTTATACCACACCCGCGCCCGCTTTAGACCGTACAAGATTGTTCAACCTGCAAACCAAGTTTTCTTTCGTCTTCTTCAAAACCTTCAGGCTGGAGCATATAAATCTCTTCTTCAAGATTTCCATGAAGAAAAGCTGTTTTAACATCTAGCTGTTCCAGATGTAAATTCAATGTAGCACATATTGCCAAGACTACTCGAACTGTTGTTAGTCGAACCACAGGAGAAAAAATTCATTGAAATCAATACCTTCTTTTGAGCATATCCTTTGACCCATTCTTGCACGATACCTCTCAACTTGATTGTCACCATTTCGCTTGATTTTGAAGACCCATTTGTTCCCAATTACCTTTCTTCCTTGTGGTAGTGGCACAATGTCCCATGTATTTTTTTTATGAAGGGCTTCGATTTCTTCTTGCATCGCCATCATCCACAGTGAAGCATCTGAGCTGTTTATTGCCTCCTGGTATGTTGATGACTCACTGTCATCTGTTAAAAGGCAGTATGCAACATTTCCTTCTATAACATAATCTGAGTGCCAATTGGGACGTCTTCTAACACGATCTGATTGACGAGTTATTGGAGCTTCAGAACTCTCTGGTTCTTGTTCATCATGTGTTGGTTCTGCTTCAGAAGAATCTCCTTCTTCAACCTCCTTTTCCACATGTATCTGTGTAGTCTTTGACTTTTCAGCGCTATCATCGTCTTCTTTTCTTTGTAGTTTATCTTCTACAAAGATAACATCTCTGCTAATGATCACTTTGCGGGCAGTGGGATCCCACAAGCGATACCCCTTGACTCCATCAACATACCCCAAGAATTTGCATTTCCTGGATTTTGGATCCAGCTTTGAGATTTCTTGGGAGTTGTACATCACGTACACAATACTTCCAAATACATGGAGTTTTGAATAATCAGCTGGTTTACCAGTCCACATCTCCATTGGTGTCTTCAGCTCTATTACAGTTGATGGAGCTCGATTCACCAAATAACAGGCGGTATTGACTGCTTCTGCCCAGAATGATTTTTCTAGGCCTGCATCCCTCAACATTCTCTTGTTCTTTCTAACAAGGTTCTGTTCATCCACTCTGTCACTCCATTTTTGAGGAGTTCCACTGTGAACTATCTTTTGATGCCTTCTTTCCTGCAAAAGTCATCAAATTCTTCGCTTGTGTATTCTCCTCATTATCTGTTCTAAAACACTTGATCTTATTTCCAGAATCAAGTTCCACCCACTTTGAAGTTTTTGAAAGTTGAAAACACGTATGACTTCTTCTTAATAGGATACCCAACATCTCCTGGAGTAGTCATCAATAAATGAGACAAAGTATTTTGCTCCGCCTAGGGATGTAACTGGTGCTTGCCATACGTTAGAGTGAACCAATTCTAGAACACTTTTGCCTCTAGAATTTGATTTGTTGAATTTCAATCGGTGCTGCTTACTTGTTATGCAATGCTCACACAAAGGAAGTATTACCTTTGCTAAGCCTGGAAGTAGCTTTTGCTCCACAAGGACTTTCATTCCTGTTCTGACATGGCCAAGTTCCTGATGCCATAGCATTGCAGAATCTGGACTACATGAGGCAACAGAGGCTTCTGCTTCTAGCAAAGTCTCTCCCTTCAGCATGTACAAGTTTGCAGCTATATTTTCGCCTTTCAACACCACAAGCGCTCCATGGAACACTTCATGATTCCTTTCCGTGTTTCAATCTTGCTTGCATTATTTTCCAACAATCCGTAGGATAATAAATTTTTCTTCAGGCCCTTCACGTGCCGCACATCTCGAACAACTTTGATTGTTCCATCATACATCTTCAATTTGATGGTTCCCACACCAACGATCTCTAAGGCATGGATCATTGCAACTATACACAGATCCTCCTGAGACAGGTTTATACTGATGGAACCATTCTCTTCTTGATGTCATGTATATGTCCCGAATCAATGAGCCATATCTGCAAATCGTTTTCTACCTTCCACGGTGGTTGACGCTTCACAACATAGAGCATCTCTATCATCTGAAGTGTTTGCGGTATTGCCTTGTGGATTGGAGTTTTTATTTAGACTCCAACAAT